GGGGGCTGTCGTGGGGGTTGTCGTAGGGGCGCCTTGACGGGGAGCGGGCGAAGACCTCTTCTTCTTCCTTCTCCTCTTCTTTTTTTCGGCGATGTGTTCATCGTCCGAAACAGGCGGGGATTCGATTTCTTCCTCCGACAGGCTGGAGAACCTGTTTTCGGTGGAAATCTCAAGGGGGCTGTGGGATGGGGCTGGACGCTTCTTCCCAGTTTTGGCTGGGCTGAAGCGCTCCGTCTCCATTGCGCTGTCCTCCGATGGGGGGCCTGGTGTGATGGTCCCTGATGTCCTCTATGATTGAGAAGTTGTCTCCGAAAAGACAGCTTCTTCGATCCGTTGCAGCCTCTCCGTGATGGGGGCCAAGGCCTCCTTCACAGCGGCGGCCACAAGGTCGGCGATGGATGTCTGGAGTGACATTTCCATATTTTGTTTTTAAAAGTGAACTTTCCCTTCCTCTAACGTGTCGAAACACGTTTCGAAGTCGGTGAAAGCTCGTGAAACTTTTTAACTTGTTATGTCGTTCGTGTTAAAAAACACGTTTTATTATGAACTGTGATCGTGTTGAAAAACACGACCAAGTCAGGGATGATGGCTTCGGATGTCTGGAATTTTCTTTCGCTTCTCAGGAGGCTGTTGGAACACGTCCGCTGGCTTCGACCGATCGACTCAGAATGTGAATCTAAAGCGTAACGTAGAGGTTTTTTATTTTTAAATGTCTACAAAGTCTCTGTTTGTAAACGCTTCTTCTGAATGCAACGATCTGAGTTTCGATTACCTCTCAACTATATCACTTTTCAGTCAATAAACCTCTGATGGGAAAATAAAAGGTAGATATATTAGTAAACACTATTTATTATAAAACTTAAAAAATATAAAAGAATAAATTAACACTAAATAAAAGCAAAAATTAACACTATAAAAAATAAAAAAATAGACACTAAAATAAAAAAATAACCACTAAACACTAACTACCTATAATAGAAAATTAAAAATTAATATTATTTATTAAGGTGTCGCAGATGCGTTCTTCTTCCACCTATTTCTCGAGGATGGAGGTGATGGCTTGACGCCTCTTTTTAATTTGAGCCAATTCTCGGTTCATCCGAGCCATCACCTCCTCTTCTTCGGTATTCAGATTTTTCAGAATTTCTTGGGCGAAACTTCGGTTACGTTTAAGTCGCTCGGCTTTCTCTTCCAACTTTCTTTTAATCCCCCGAAGCTCCACCCGAAAATCTTCCTCCTCAACCAATTGTCTAAACTCCATTTCGGGTTGAGTGGGTTGTTGTTGTGTTTCGTCATGTTCTTCTTCCGTCTCCTCCTCCTCATCCACCTCAACCCTAATGAGGTTGAGGTTTTTTCTTCCTGCTTCTATGCCCTTAGTCGGTTGCCCAGGAACAAGAGCAGGAGCAGGAGCTGGTTTAATAACTTTATCCTGATGCACTATAATTTTTGGTTCCTCAACATTGGCCAATATTTCCTCCCACTCGCCGATAATTGTAAAATCTTCACCTACCCCCAATAACAAATCTTCAAATTCTTTTTGACCCGCTGGGGTCTTTTCGGGAGCAGGTCTTAAGAGATCGATAATGATCTGCAAAAAATATAAAAAAAAATTTTTATTCAATTTTGACGTATTAAACCGTATTTATTAACTTCATAACAACCAAGGTAAACAATTGTTTATTCGGTAGAGTGAATTAGAATTTTTTTAACTCACTAGTGATTTAAAAAAAATTAATTCACTCTTTGTTAAAAATCAGATATATATGTAGAACTTGTTAGAACATTTATTTAGAATTAAAATAAAAATTACAATTATGCAAGTCACCAAAATTAAGCTTACATCCATCATTTATTAATGGATTGGATAATTCTCCATTAGTAATTCTTATGTTCTCTTTTTCATTAATTTCTGTAATACTGATACCACTTTTAGTGGCAACTTCAACAATTCTTTTTGCTTCCACTGTAACGCCAGAAGCTCCATCGCATACTTCACTTTCATTTTTTCCAAGAATTTTCTTTGAAATTTTAATTTTATTTGCAAGCGAATCCTCGATGTATCCCTCCGCAACTGAATTTGAGCGCCATTCGCCGTGTCTCTTTAATACAGTCAAGTCAACGCCAGCGTCAGCAAGAAGTGTGGCTGACGAACGTCGTGTTATTATCGTCATTTAAAAGATCTGATCTATTACTTACTTTTAACAGCAAAAATTTATCGTCAGGAGCAGTATCCAGAAACCTTTCAAGTTCTTCCCGTGTAAAAACCTTCGACTTCTTTGCCCTGTGTCCTACAGAATGCTGCTTCAAAAATGCTTTTACTTTATGGAATCTACAAACATTAATTTAGCACAAATTCTATAGTTAAACATCCACAAACCTGTTTATATCAACATTTTCCTTAACCAATAACATTTTCTTCAGCTGTGAATGGTATGACCACAATGAAGACGATTTTACAGTTTTTGATCGCTCCGAAATATACGCCAATATTATCTTCTCGTCGACTCCTCGGGCGTTCTTTTTATTTCTCCAATTACAAAAACAATTATACTCTTTTTCACATAATATTTTGGATTTTACTGGTACTACTTTGCCTACTGCTTCGTTCATTACATCTTCCGGAACAAAAATATCGTTATCGTCGCATATTTCTGACTTGGACACATTAAAATAATTGTTTATACCAAAATGGTTGCTAGGGAGGTGTTGCCACAACAACGTACCAACCACGACTGTCACAGACTTGATTTTTGTTGTCGTATTTTGCATAAATTCGTAATAATCCGTAAATTGAAGCTGAGTCTCGCAAAATTGAATAAAATATCGTATAAACTACGTGAGTTAAATGAATGTTTATTCACTTAAAGAATTAGCTCACTCGCGCTACGCGCTGTTGAGCTAAACTTTCTTCTCTTGAATAAACATTTATTTAACTCACTTAGTGTATAAATATCTATTATTAAAGTTAAAAGAAAAATTATATTACAAAAAAAATGTTTAAATTATATTATATTTTTCAGTCAATGACCGAAAAAGGGCGGCCAAATTATAATTAAAGTAGATGCTCAAAATATCCACCATCCTCTTGTAGGCACAATTCTGCTCTTCTTATTAGGCTTACTTTGGATTCCCTAATTATTCGTGGAGTGAGCGTCGCAAATGCCTCTTGAATCCTCTCTCGAAACTCCTCTTCTGTGTTAATGGGTCATCTGTAGACAATATTTTTGATGTGACTCCTAGGGGATTACAAAGTTTGAAGTGGGGGTTTCCGGAATTCAGATTCCCGGAACTAGTATGTAGGAGTGGGGGGTCCAAATTTCTGGAAATGGCGCATGCGCAGATGAAGTGAATTAGAATCGGCACAGCTATACTATTCATGCTCCCTCATAAATTTCCAATGGGGTTTAAATCTGGGAAGTGTGCTGGCTACGTAAAAGTTCAAATTCCGGATGGTGTTGAACCATTCCTCTACAATTCGGGCTCTGTGTAGAGGACACTAAATTTGTCCAGGACAGAGACAATGGGATTATTCATTTCATGTGGTGGATACAATGTTGTTAGGATGGTAACATTACATCCTCCAAAACCCTCAAATATTGAAGTAATTTCAAGTTTCGAGGAGTAATTTGAACAGTTTCTCCAGGACCGGCATTGTTCATTCAGCCTCAAAATCCGGCACGAATTCTTCCACTTCGTGAATTTGCTGCTACGTTTTGAGGTGCATACCTAGACACATAACTTATCAATTTATTAAACACTAATAATTACCGTTTGTTTTCCATAAAATTCTAGGAGCATCACGGCTACTTGAAATGGTTTTCTCACCCGTAAAGATAACATCGGCCCAATTACGATTTAAATTTGAATGGCAAAATTGCAATCTTTCTTGCACTAGGGCAGTTGTTGTTTTGTTTTTTTTTTTGCGGGAACTTGACTTTAAAATAATTTGCTACTTCACAGATCAGACAATTTCTTCCTTCAATCTTCGTTATTCTTTTAGATGTGGGGCACACAAATTTGATTGGATTTGGCATAGCGTGGAGGATGAAAAAGCTGTTGTTATTGATGCTATCGTAGTTAAATTGTTAACCCAAGATATGTCTAAAAATTTTTGAAAAGTTTAATGTTTGTTTTTTTTTGATATTCTTTATAATATATTAATATTAAAACATATTTTTATAATATTGAAACATTTTATTAAGAAAAAATATAAAATGGCGCCTGTCTTATATGTAGGACGTCAGGCATATGTGGTACCATAATAAAATCTGTTTAATTTTTATGAAAATTGATAAAACCTTTGACATGGACTCCCACATCGCATTTGACACATCTTGTGGTTGTCTTCTGGTGACAGAGTCTTCATCTGGTTTGCTTATCTTGGTTTTGCACCAAATGATCAAGACGATTATACCGCAGATTTATCCTTCGGCCGTCCTTTTGAATAAGAAAGTGTCTTTTTGTTCTGTGTTAACAAAATAACTGCAATTTGCTTTCTAAAACTCAACTGGTCAAAGTCGCTCCTATGAATGCGGTGTCTTTGCTAGGCGTTGTTTACAGCTAGGTCTATGCAGTGCATAATCAGTGAACAGTACCACTTTTTCCCTCGTATCGAAATTCGATACAGGCTAACATTTTGGTCGCATTTGTCCACTCCTCCCATGTTTGCGTTATATAAATTTACCACGTGCGGTTGATCTACGTGAAAACAATAGTATGGTGATTGATTTATTTACGTACGTTCCTGTGTTACGATAAAATTAACTAGATGGTAGATACTCTTTTTTTTCCTTATGTGAATGAATTGCCTCCCGAATTTTTTTTAAATCGTAAGCTCCCCTTTTTTCTTTCTTGAGCACTTTTGATTTTACCTAAGGATTTTGAGGTATACGATTTTCTCTTACAGTACCAGTGGCGTAAAAGTTTTTTTTTTCCGTCAAAAGCACAATAAGGTCAATAGACGTAAAAAAAATGTCAAAGAATAAGTGAAAGTTGTCCTCTGGCCACTTTCGTCTTAAAGCAACTAAATGTTTGAATAAAGGTCTAACTTTGGCAAATTTGTCTTCTTTGTCTATGTTTTTGTTATCAGCGAGATGGAAGTTTGAAAAAATATATTCAATCATATCATTTGAGATCGCCTCTGAAAACAAAACGTTGTGATCATCTTTTTTCCGTTTCCAGTAAGTTATTCTTTGGGGTACCTGTATGTACCCACTAAGAATTACAAAACCGACCAGCCGATCCTAGTTTAAATCTTCCCACTTCCTAGCAGCTTCCTGGATAGCATCTCTAATATTAGCATGGTAGAAAGTGATAAGCTGGGATTTCTTTGCGTGGGACAAAACCTTCAAGCCAATCCAGTGTGCGATTCTTACCTTATCTCTATACAATCTAGCTTCCACCTGAATAGAAACATAATCAGCAATCTTATTCTTGTCAGCCCTCTTCTTTTCAGATGTGTTGATAACTCTATCAAATAAGTGTTGGTGAAAGCAGAATGCCTGGATCATTGCCCTGCACTCGTTATGATTAGCCCAAGATGTTTTAGTTGGGATCAGAGATCCAGCTGAAGAAATGTATAGTCCATAGGGGAAGTTCTCACAGATATCCCTAGGACTTACTGCAGTAGAAATTGAGCCAGGCTTTGTGTGAGCATTGAATGACAATTGCTTAGCGAAGTATACAGATATTCTACCCAAAGATGCATCTGTTGCAGCTGAAGGTTTCTGGATGAGGTTGTAGATCTTGGCAAGATTAGTTATTTTTTCAGCTCCTGCAGCAGGAGACTTAGCCTTAATTTTTGAGATGCTAGTTCCTCTAACACATCCAAGTGCAGCTAGCCAAGCAGTATTTTTTTTATGGTCCTCATCAGTCACATCCTTAGCTCTAGCCCTCTTCCTAAGCTCAGCTAATTGTATCAAAGGATCAAACCCTTGATACTCCATATCGCTGAAGTCAATGTCTGAAAAGAAAGTGTCATCATCTAGGCTTGCAATAAAAGCTTGTTCAGTGGATATGAGTCCGGATGCCATCTTGTTTTATTGTCTAACACGTACACCTTAGAAAGAGATGCTTTTGTCGTCTTTGTGTTTGAAGTGTTTGAAGCATATTTATTACTTTCACTAAGAATTAGTTCAAATAGTTTGTCAAAGAAAAAAAAAATTGGAGATTAATTTTAGAGGCGATTCTAACTGCTGAATATCTTCGTGGTTTTCAAATTTGGTGTAGGTGATTGGACATTGTTACCCAACTATAAATCTTTTTCTTTTTTGATTTCATTTGGGACGTTTTTCTTTTTTCAGATTATCTTTATGAATAGTCTATATCATCATAATATACGTTTTCGTATCCAAGAATGACTCGATTACAAATTATCTTGATCTCTCGATATAACTGTTTTATTTTATTATCAAGGAAATTGGCAAAATACTTAAAAGTTGCATTCAACATTATTTTCTTTTGTTTGAGTTTGAGACCGGACACCCGATATAGTGAAGAAGTTAAATAAGTCATCATATAATATCATTTACCTACCTATCTGATATGCAGCTTTCTTTAATTGATTCTTCTACAATAGACTTTATTAAAGTTCGACAAAATATTTGAGCATTATATTTTTCGGCTCTTAATTTAACACAACACAAGCACTCGACCGACTTATTGTTATACAATCTATACTGAACTAACTATTAAATTACTCTGCATCCAAAAAATTGCCAAAAAGAGGAAGTGGTCAAATTTTAAAAATCGCATTTAGTGTAAGTAATAAAATTTTAACGGAAGTTCCAAATTGAAAAATGGTATGAGAACATAATTGGAGTTAGAGAGAGATAATTGTAGGTAGCGGTAACAGCCAGGCTGTTTTTTATGGGTCTCTAATAAATTACGATATGTGTCCTACATCCATGTACACTCAGAAAATTAGAAAAGTCTCTATAAACCGACTCTCATTATTTGGGTCCTCCTACCTAACCGTAGTTATAAACTATAAATAAAAATGCTTTTGCATTTAGCCTCAACATTTCTTCTTGTCATGTGATATTATTTAATTAATAATAATTTTTATAATTAAACGTGTGTAAAGTGTGTTATATGGTATATATCCGGATATAAAAGATAAAAGCTTGTTTTACAACGCCCTCCGTCATTTGTGGGGATATCTTCTAGCTACGCTACAAATCCAAAACTTTATAGGTCAACAAAATTTTTTGAGTGGTTTACCGTTTTGTGAATGTACAGGGATATACCTCGAAAAAACAATAAACACTGATATCATCGCAGTTCGTTGGTTTAAATTTAGCTGCCCGGCAAAACGACTTTTTTTCAATATGATGCTAGAGAGTTTCCGACGAACGCTTTGGAATGTAAACAACATATTCTTTTTTAATAGTTACATCATATATCTCAACAGTCTATTTTTAGGACATAACACGTCCGACATCGCAACCGGTGAAATCTTTAGCTTGCCGGTAGCTGCCTTACTATGCACGAGACTACATTTTCGGTTGCTTAGTATTTCCTTCAATCACCAGCTACAACTCTTGAAATCAAGAAAAACATTTCACTGAAATCCGTTATTTGGAATAATTTATCATAATTTTGTGAAATTACAACTTAGCCCAACGGGCAAGCAGTAAAAATAGCTGCTAGGAATTTTTAAACGTTGTAATGTTCTTATATTTATTATATCTTTATTTTGAGATGGCGAGTTGACACATTTTACACTTGGGTAAAGTTGCCGTTTTGTTGTGGAGACGTAGTAGAGTGCGAAGCGTTTGTTCTAATTTGACCATGGCTTCGATAAATTTTGTCATGGTTTCAGGGAGATACATGCCTTTGTCGGCCGCGAGTTCCGGTGTCAGTAACCCGGCCGTGAGTCGCACCGGCTCGTGGCTTGGCTAGCAGCCATTTCTTTCGCAGAAATATTTCTGCGTCCTCCTTATCTTGACGGTACCCATAAAGGGATGCACAAAGTATGAATCTCTGGCTGATGGAGTCGTAGAAGGAAGGCCTTTCGAAAATCGTCGAATGAAGGGATGAGCGGCCCGGTAGTTTGCCACCATTCGCTGGCTTTTTCTCGAAGCTGGGCCGTGATTCGTAGCAACTGAATTTTAGGGCTGTTCTGTGCCATATGACTTGTGCATGTCTCTAGGAATCCGTGGTGTCTTCGTGGTCCTCTCCGGCGAATGTTGGTAGTGGAATTTCTTCAATCGGATTCGGCGTTGCCCGAGTGCTTTTTGTGAGAGCCTCGGACTCGGCTCGTTGCACCTCGACGGCGGCCAGTTGCGTTGCGATGAGTTGCTGGATGGATTGTAGGAGGTTCTCCATACTGGGTGTATCGCAGGACCTGGTGGTTACCCGCATGCCCTTGGGTTGAGCTTGGGTGTGGATGGTGTCTCCGACGTCCTTGAAGGCCTTACGTTCTTGGGCGCCAATTATCACCGCGGGGAATTACCCATTGGCGGTGACACGTGGTTGTGTGAGAATTTGTTACGGACGACGGACTGAAAAGTCCGATTACTTTGTGTGAAACATCTGTGTGTGAACACTTCAAAGGGTGTGAAACACTTTCGCGAGACATGGGTTCCGGGCAGAGGTTGTACTCGGATTGGACTGATAGGGGAACAGTCAAGTCAAAATAAGTTTATTTACAAAAATAATGGTACATGTCATTGTTTTCTTAACTAAGTATTGTAATATTTCTTGAAAAAGGGGCCTGGTGTGAATTTTCCAAAGGGTTGTACCCCCGAATGGTGGACGCCAAAATTTCCCCTTTTGCCCTACGTTTAATTATCAAATGATAACTCAAGGGGGGGGGGAGAAGTTTACCAGAACGATGATAAAACATGCATTAATTAATTAAGATGCACGAATTAAATTATTCTCTAATTACGTAAGGGAAATTAGTAAATCCTAAACTTACGTTATTTATGATTTGGACACTTTCACTAGGAAAATGGAAAATTGTGGCGAATGCGAAATTACGTCTTAACTCTCGGCTCTCTCGAATCGGAGTATCGAAAATCCACTAGTCCGTTTTTTTCTCTCTCTCTCGCAATCCCCCTCCGGTACTACTCTTCCACTACTCTAAAGCTTTGACAAATCACGACTTTGTTAATAATTTAAACAACCAAAAGAACCAAGTTCAATTTACAACAAAATGAACTTATTATTAAGCTAATTAAAATTACCTAAACTGACTTTTGACTCAGACGTTGCTGATGCGCTGACGACAATAATTTGCAACGATTTACATTTATTACAAATTTGAACCAGGTCTTTCAAAACTACCTTAAATTAATTAAGCCTAAAATTCCAACATATCAAATTTACAACACGTTTCCCCTCATTGCCTTTCTGATATTAAATATACAATCTAAATAAAATTTACAATGGAAAATTTGTGCATTTCGAAAAAACCCACGTGTGGCCTTGGAGTCGTTTGGTCTGGATCGCTCCACACTCTATTGAAAGCGTATCGAATTTAAGTTTTAAATTTCTAAAGAAATGACCGGATGTTTGGTAACTTTTTTGCGACTCTCCACATTTTTTAAGAATGTTGACTTTTTCCGTAGTTTGTGGAAACGTAATTTAATTTTAAGAGAAAAATAAAAATACTCATCGCCTAGCAGGGTGTAGGGGTCCGGAATATTACAGTATATACAAGATATTTACCACTTTTACAAGACCCGACAGTTTTAGGCTTTTGTCCTTTTCGGTCGCGGGATGGTTTTTTCTGTATGTTTTGTGTGTTTAGTGAAGGAATAGAAAAAGAGAAAAGAAAGCGTGGGGCTCGCAGGGAGTTGAGAAATTTGGTTGTCTTGTCGTTGTGTCAGTTTTGTCGCATGCAAAGGGGTGTTTTTTCAACGATGAATTGAAGGTTGTCAGGGAGGTCGGGGTAAAGTGAAGAGAGAAGTTTGTGTCTTGGTAGACGGTGATACTGAGATGGAAGCGGTCGAGGCGGTGAATTCGGCGAGAATTTGTCGTTCGCATGTGGTTATGCGATGTGTCATGTTGGAAGTGAGAGATGTGTAGATGAGGTCACGGTATTCAATGACTGGACGAATGAAGGTGTTGTTTGTGTGGAGGAATGTTCGAGAATCGCATCCTTGGAAGTTGCCCATGAGGCGGCGGAGAAGATTGGATCGTTTTCGGACCTTTTTGATGTGTTTTGAAGATCGGTGTGGAGAGGGCACGTGTGTGTGTGTAAGTGATTCTCAGGTAAGTTGTGGAAGATGAGAGATTGATGGGGGTGTAGTCGAGTGTGATGATGACGTCGTGGGGGTCGAATTTGAGATTTCGTGTGAAGCTGAATGTCGGTGGATTTTGTGGGGCTGATCTTGACCCTTCATTTTTTGGTCCAGGTGGAAATGCGGTTGAGAAGCGGCTGAATTGCCCGGGAGGCTGATGCGGCTGATTGCTGTGATGTCCAGAGAGCGGTGTCGTCTGCGAAGAATTCAATTTTCGTTCGGTGAATATCTGAAACAGGAAAATCGGAACTGAAAAAAAAGTGTAAAGAATTGGGTAGAGAACGGAGCCTTGTGGGACTCCCGAGAGAAGGGGGACTGGATGAGAAAAAGAGTTTTGAACTTTAACTTTGCAAGGAACGGTTTGTAAGAAAGGAATCAATTAGTTTGGTGAATTGGAGGTTAATGTTAAAGTTCAGGAATTTTTGATGAAAGCCGTCCTGCCAAACCCGGTCAAATGCACGCTCGACGTCTAGAAAGGCAGCTAGAGATTGGGTCGAATCGGTGAAAAGTTCGGAAGTGGGGTCGGAAGTTGAGCGTTGTGAACGGAAATCAAATTGTTCGGGAGGAAGAATGTTGTTTGAATTGAAAATTGTGGTGATGGATGTGATGGCCGTCTGAGGAAGGTGTTTCAGAAGAATGGATTTGATTTGGTCTGGTCCGGGGGCTCTCGAGTTTTTTAGTCTGAAGATGAGGGTTGAAACTTCTTCGTCGCTGATTGGCGTTGTCAAGTCCTGGTTGTTGAGGGGTGGATCTGCGTGTTTGTTGTCGTCGTTGTTATTGTCGGCTGGTGGAGGAAAGTTGTGTTTGAAACGGAAAATGTTGTTAGTGACTTGATTGTAAAAATGTTGGTTGTTATGGGGGTCGTTGGGAATTTGGTGTGCATGTTTTGGAATGTTGCAGCAAAACAAATTGCTTTGTCTTGGGGGTGTTTAAGATGGTGTTGTTGACTGAAAGGTGGTGGCTGGGTTTGGATTTTTTTTGGTTTGGAACTGTGGTCTACAAGCGATGTGCCAATGTGGTTGGCGAGTGTTGGGAATTGGTTGCGAAGACGATAAAGTGGGAGGTTGTTGAGAGAACGAATGAGAATTCTGCCGTTTTGATTGATGGAAGTGTCACCGAACTCTGTGTGTCGAGCAAGTCCCCGAGGATGACGGCGTGTCTAAAGGTGTAAGTGTAGTCCAGAAGTTGGGCGTTAACAGTTTGTTGCGGAGGATTGTAATAACAAATAAACAGAGTATTTATATTGTTGAAGTGGCTAGTGGCTGCGACCGCTTGAAGATGGTTAAGATGAGGGAGCAAATCGTGTTGGGATGAGGCGAGTGAAGATGAAAGGAGAAGTATGACACCATGTTTGGCTCGGGCTGTGGGGCTTGGTTTGTTGTAGGAGTGATAGCCTGTGATATTGATGGGTCATTTGGATTTGGTCTCGGTGATAGCAGCGATGTGGATTTGGTCGGTTTGAAGAAAATGTTTCAAGGAGGCGAATTTACCAGAAATGTTAACGGTGACGAAATTCAGAGAGCCCATGAAGAGTTTGCAATATGAAATAAAATGGGACTGGAAGTGACGAGTTTAACTGGAAATGAAATGAATTTTGTTTGATGAGTGGGAAATTTTGAGGTTGTGGTTGAGGTAGATGCGGGTGGAGTGTTCGAGAACAGTTTGGACTTTCTGTTTCCCGAACGGGAAGAAGTCGAAGAGAGTTTTCGTGATGAATCGGACGAATTGGCGGGCAGAAATGAAGGGTTCGCGATCGTCGGGTTCGGCATCTGAGTTTTCGGGATCGATTTTTTAGTCAATGATTTTGACAGGGACGACTGGAGTGTTGGGGGTGATTTCGGATGGTTTGGGGTAATTGGGGCAATCCTAGGACCAGGCTGGGTGGTTTCCCTGGCATTTTGGGCATTTGGGGTTTGGTGATGCTGTGGGGCATGGTTTTGAGCGATGGCTCTAGGGGCATGTGGGCCAGAAGGGTTTGTTGGGGCATTGAGAAAATGAGTGGCCAAATGCGAAACATTTGACGCATTGAAGGGGTGAGGGTTTTGGGGGGTTGGAGGGCTCGCAGGGATGAATGTGGCCGAAAACAGAAAGGCAGTTTGAGAGAAGATGGCCGATAGCACTTTTGTCGGTGACGATGACGTGCATGAGGGTTTGTTTTTTTTTGTGGAGGGGAAATGCTTTATGCACCCCCTGCGCAAGGTTCGACGTGCAGGGGAGTGTGGGACTCCGTCGTGGTGTTCGGGACGGTCTTACCCACTAAAATCCCTCCTGTGGCTATCAGTACTACCCAGGAACTGCAAATATGGTATGTCATCCGGATATACTGCCTATGTCTCACCCGCTCTTGGCTACTTTAAGTTCCTTTCTTTTTCTCTTTCCCTTTCTTCGGCGCATTTTGTATGCATTATTTCATGTATGGCTTTGTTTATCATTTTCCATTTATTTTCATCTTCTAGCATAGTTGGTATCAGGTTATTTATTGTAATATTCATCCCTAGTAGCTTTTCCGTTCGTACCTTATTTTGTGCCATTGTGGGCATTTTAGTAGAGTGTGTTCTACGTCGTCCCTGCCGCCGCAGTTTACACAATCTTCCGAATCACTTTTCTTTATTCTATGTAGGTAGCTTTGAAAGCAGCCGTGACCACCCAGTATCTGTGTCATGTAGTAGTTTGCTTCTACATGTTTCTTTTCATACCACTCGACAACATTTGATATAAGTTTATAGGTCCACCTGCCATTTTTGCTGTTATCCTATCTCTCTTGCCAACTTTCCATAGTGTACTTCCTTGCTTCTCCCTTGTCTTTGGATTTATTATGTATTAGCAGTCTTTCCTTGGCAACTAGGTCCATAGGAATTACTCTATTACCTCTAGGGCTTCCGTCGATACGGTGAGGTAGGCACTACATATTTTTATGTTCATTCTTCTTTCGACTCTCAGTACTATGTCTCTGTAACTACTTTTCTTTTCTAGGTCTTCGGCCCAGATTGGTGCCGCATATAGTAAAATCGACTGCACCACCGCGTATAGTATTCTTTTTTTGTGTCAGATAGTACTCCCATGTTAGTTGTTATCCTTCTTAATTCTCCTACTGCTTTCTCTGCTTTTTTTGCGGCGTACTATAGATGTTCCTTATTATTTAAGTTCCTGCCCATCATAACACCTAGGTATTTGATGCATTCTTTGGATTCAATCTTTACTCCTTCCACCTCGATTTCTATCGTTTTCACTTTTCTTCTTCCATTAGTCATAACCGCCTCCGTCTTTTGAGGCGCTATTTTTAGATTGCGTTCTTCCATTCGATTCGAGATATCTTTTAGTTCTTTGTTTATTTTCCTTTCTAGTTCCTTTTTCTCCTTAGCTATAACCTCCAGCGTTAAATCGTCTGCGAATCCTACCCTCGTTGTATCCGAGTAGATTGACTTCCTCAGTATTTTGTCATAATATATGTTCTACAGCAGTGGTCCTAACACGGACCCCTGCGGCACTCTCCTTGTGATTTCGAGTTCCGTCGCTTGTCCTATTAACAATTTCCTATTTTTTAGGTAGTTTAGAATCATCCGCTGTATGTATGGCGAGAGATTCTTTTCTTTGACTTCTTTAATTATGATGTCCCATGAAGCCGTGTTGAATGCATTTTGTACATCTATAGTTACTAGAGCACTTATTTTCCTGTGCCTGTAAGCTTTTTTGTTAAGTTCTTGTGCCTTTTCTCGTATTAGTTTGACTGCATCCACTGTAGATTTTCCTGCTCTAAATCCAAATTGGTTCTTCGCTAGTTCGTTTTGTTCCATTTCTTTTTTTATTTTGATCGACAAGAGCTGCTCAAATAATTTGCTTACTACGCTGAGTAGACATATTGGTCTATACGTATTTTTCTTCTGTTTTTCGATAAGCACCAGTTTTGCTTTTTTCCATTCTTCCGGTGTTGCACCTCTCTTGAGTATTTTGTTGTTGACTTCTAATATATACTGCGGCAGTTGTTCTGTTATAGCCTTGACTAGCTCCGGGTTGAAGCCGTCAAATTGGGAGGATAATCTTTAATGGGAAGCGAGACTGTGTATTTTCCAGACGGTTCGCGTTTAACCGTGGAAACAAAAAATTCTTCACATTTCTCGTCCTCTTTATTCAAAAAAACAGCGGGAGTAGGAACCTCTTCCATTGACCAAAATTTTTCAACTACTTTATCCAGCGATGGTTCCGATAATAAACAAAGCGTATGCGTTTCATAATTTGCAGCAATATGCGGTATTTCCCCCATAACTATGTATCCTAGCGTAGTTTCTAAAGCTATTGGGCTTCCAAGTTGACCTCTAATTTTGTTCGGACCTAAGATATGTGGGAACAGTTTAGCGCTAATTATTCCATCAATTCTTCCCGATTCGAAAAATTTCTCATCAGCTAGCGGAAGATCAAGCAAGTATTCTAGAGACGATTGCGGTATATTTCGATCTGGTAAATTGTCTATAATCTGATCGATAAGTAAAGCTTCGAAATTGTATCTAAAATCTGAATTAAAGCGAGAAACAATGACCATATCAATTTTTCTTTTTATAGGATGCGTAATAGCACCAATGCCCTTAACAGAAGCGTTAATTTTTCTAACTGGCAATTTTAAACGGGTACAACAACTTGTAGTGATAAAGTGCGATTGACTAGCGGGATCTACTAAAAACCTAACTAATTTATTTTTTGAATTTGGAGCAAATACTTCTACTACCGCGGTTGCAAGCAAAGTGTTGCTATAACTGGATGATTGCGAACGAGTACTTGCGGCGGCACAAAAACTATGAGACTCGCAAGGGGTACCATTGACGTCACTTATTGGAACCAACTCCTTTTTAATCGGCTGTTCCGCAACGTGTGGTTTCTCGAAATGAAGTAGAGAATGATGCCTCTTTTTACACGAACTACAAGTGCTAGTAGATTTACAAGCGATTATTTTATGTTTCCCACTTAAGCAATTTAAACATAAAGATTTATCTTTGACTAATTGATATCTTTCCAATGGACCCAACTTCAAAAGCTTTGCACACTGATACTGAATGCGAAGCGTCATTACAAATTGGACAAATATTGTTCGATACGCGATTACTAACTACAAGTGAATGGGTTCTATTGGATTTACTGGAAGAAGCACTATAATTCGATCGATTGGTTGGTATGACGGTGGGTTTTGAGGTACAGGCTAGAATTTTTGTTTGAGCCTTTACAAAATCGACGATTTCCTTATATGAAGGAATTTCAGAATTTTTCTGCAAAAGTTCGAAGTGTCTACGCGTTTGACCATCTAATTTCGAAAAAGCGATGGAACCTATGATAAAGTCCGAAAGATCATCTATTTCTAATTGTTTCAAGGCATTTACTGCTGTATCAAACTTTTCCAAAAATGCGTTCAAACAGACTACCGATTCATTTTGTAAAGATTTAAACTCAAGAATTTGCGACAAATAAGTGCTAGCCAGGAGACGTTTATCATCATATTTTTCTACGAGAGCTTTCCATAAGATAGGATAATTTGTTCCTGTTGGTTGTATTCCAGAGCAAACTAATAGCGTTTTGCCCGTCAATTTTCCCAGTAAATAATGCATTTTGGTGATATTGTCTAAATCAGGGTTTTCATGTATTAAAGTTTTAAACGTCTCATAAAAAATGGGCCAGTCAGACATTTCGCCTGAGAACTCTACCAACTCAATTTTGGACAATTTTGTTATAGTTTTTGCAGGCTGTGACGGACTTTCAGATTTCGCAAAAACCTTTTTCGCAGCTTCTACTATGTAACAATATAATTTGTCTACCGCTTCCAACTCTTTAAAACTAGGCGTATATTTCGGGTCAATTTCTAAACTTAATAAATTTATCGAGTCCATGCAATCACTAAACAATTTGCGCGTTTCTTCTAGTGTGTTATATCTGATTTTAAAATTTTTGCGAACAGCTTCATCTTCTAAGTTCTGAGAGTCATTATATAAACGCTGGATTCTAAAAAAAAAAGAGATTCCCGCTTGGCCAAAAGAGACTTTAATTCATTTTCTTTAGTTTTAGCCATGATAAATTTTGAAACAGCGATAAGCGATAAGGTACGACGATAACCGAGGGGTTTTTGCAACACACGTACCAAAAGAAGCGATACCAGTGCTCTAAATTAATTAATGAACAAAATCCGGCTATCCGGTACGAAGGACCAAAATATTGACGCGCAAAATTATATCGAAATTAAAATGTAAAAGAAAAAAATCTTACCGAACAGTCCATCAAAGCATCCCAGAGTCACTAAAAGGAAGGGAGAAGGAAGGAAGAGAAAATGGGAATACTAGAGCTTTGACGACCCGGCAAGAACAGTAATTCAAAGAAAAACAATAACCACTAGGTCAAAAACACGACGTGTTGCGGCCACCCCGATAGCTACTACTCGAATGTGCTTATCGCTTGTCTCATACAAAAACTAAAAACTAAATAAAAAATTCATAATTTAAAGGCGCGCAAACACACTTCATTCTTTAGAATCTAGTTTATTATATTTATTATTATTTATTTTAATTTAGTATTATCGTTTAAAACTGAAAAAACTTAAACAGAATTTAATCTTGAAGACTTGGAAAACTTTTAACTACTAAATTAAAACGAAAATATTCTAATGTAAAATGGGAAAATATTGAATCAGCTTTTAGTGGAAGAATTCGTACTGGTTTTATTTCAACATTAAATATAAAAGACCCTTTAATTTTTTTCAATAAAGCTTTTAAGAGTTTTTCAATTAAAATTAATCAAATCTTGAAAGAGTCAATGATAAAAGTAAATGTAATTTTCCGTGCTTATTTTATAAAACCTCAAACTGGTGAAATTGATATAAAAAGCTTTTGCACAAAAAATCTTCCAATTGACTCTTCAACCAACTTAAAACGGTGGTACAAAGAAAATGTTACCGATAAATTAATGAATAAATTAGAAGAGTTTGCAGAAAAGGATTCTGGATGGGCTCTTCATGAAATTATAGGACTTATAGTAGACATTAACAGGTACGATCCACTAAAAGTAGGTGTTTCAACATTTGTTACTGTACCAAATTTTATTAAAAATAAGCATGCAGTAATTAATTTTGAAAATGATGATAATTTTTGTTTTTTGTGGTCAATTGTGTCTGCTTTGTATCTTGCAAAAAAAAAACTCTAATAGAATTTCTTCCTATCCTCATTTTAAAGATGTGTTAAAATATGAAAATATACAATTTCCAATTACAAAGTTTGAAAAACTTAACAATCTTGCAATTAACTTATATTGTTTTGAAGGTTCTAAGATTTTGCCTTGTTCATTAAGTTCACAAAATTATGAAAATGATACTAAAGTTATTAATTTATTAATGTTGCCAATTACTACATAACCAAATTTGTCATTTTTTTCTGAAGAGTCTCTACTTTATCATTTTGTGTGGATTAAAAATTTATCGCGTTTGTTGTCTAAACAATTATCAAATTATAATAAGAAATGTTTTGTTTGTGAGAGATGTTTAAATTCTTTCACCACTAACAATCCTACTACAGAACCATTTACGTTATTGTCTAAAGTCAAACCAATGTTGTGTCAAAGTACCTAAAACAAGAAAATTTTTACAGTTCGAAAATCATTCTTACAAAGAAAAAGTTCCTTTTGTTATATATGCAGATTTAGAAAGGATTTTTGAAAAACCATCTGCATCAGACAGTAATAATTGTTTTACAAATTCTAATTCTGTGATATATCAAAACCATGTTGCATTTAGCGTAGCTTATTATCTAAAGTGCTCTTTCAACGATTCATTCTCTAAATTTAATATTTATCGTGGCAAAGATTGCATACAATGGTTTGTTGAAGAATTGCATGAAATTTCACTATTTTGTAATGAACAGCTTGAAATAATTTTACCTATGACGACAACAACAGCTTCAACAACAACAACAAATGATAAGTGTCACATCTGCAAACAAACATTTCACTCAAATCAAATTAAAGTACGAGATCATAATCATCAAACTGGAAAGTTTCGTGGATTTGCACATCAGGCTTGTAACCTAAATTACAAAGATGCTCATTACATCCCTGTTGTTTTTCATAACTTAAGTGGATATGAGGCTCACTTTATAATTAAAGAACTATCAACACAGTTTCAAGGAACAATCAAGTTACTTCCTATTAATAAAGAAAAATATATTTCTTTTACTAAATATGTTACAGGCACAAACGTTTCTTTACGATTTGTTGCTTCGTTTCGTTTCATGTCTCAAGCTTTAGGAAAACTTCCATCAAACTTACAAAACAATCAAAAATCTATAACTAAATTATTTTGTAATACGGAACAAGAATTTTTGTTATTAACCAAAAAAGGTGTATTTCCATATGATTACATTGATTCATTTGAACGTTTAGAAGAAACCAGTTTACCTTGTAAAGAAGCGTTTTACAGTGAACTTAATGAAGAACCCATAAGTGACAGCGACCATTATCATGCTAAAAAAGTCTGGGATTGCTTTCATATTAAAACAATTGGAGAGTATACTGACTTGTACTTAAAAACTGATGTGCTTTTACTTGCTGATGTTTTTGAAGCTTTTCGTGATACATGTAAAAAAACATATGATTTAGATCCTTTACATTATTACACCGCTCCTGGTCTTACATTCGATGCGATGCTCAAAACTACAAATATAATATTAGAACGTTTGATAGATATTGATCAAATATTATTTATAGAAAAAGGGATAAGAGGTGGTGTATCACAGTGTTCAAACAGATATGCAAAAGCTAATAACAAATACATGAAAGAACATTTTAATCCAAATTTAGACAGCAAGTACTTAATGTATTTTGATGTAAATAATTTATATGGTGCAGCAATGTCAGAATATTTGCCGTATGGTAAATTTGACTTTCTAGAAATTTTCAACATTCAACAAATATTAAATACAGCTAATACTTCGGATGTTGGTTACATAATTGAATGTGATTTAGATTATCCTATTTACCTACATAATCTGCATAGCGATTTACCACTGGCACCTGAACATATGGTGCCACCAAATTCTACATCTAAAATTAAAAAACTGCTCTTAACATTGTTTCCAAAGAGGAACTATATTATTCATTATAGAAATTTAAAAATGTACTTAGAACTGGGAATGAAATTGACTAAGGTTCACAAAGTTTTAAAATTTAAACAATCACCTTGGCTTAAACAATATATTGACTTGAATACTAAACTTAGACAACAGGCTAAAAATGATTTTGAAAAAGATTTTTATAAATTAATGATTAATGCTATTTATGGTAAATGTATGGAGAATGTTAGAAAACATAGAGATATTCGATTGGTAACGAAATGGGATGGTGGACGCTGGGGATTGCGCTCATTGATTTCAAAACCTAATTTTCATAGCTCGATTATTTTTGATGAAAATATTGTTGTTGTTGAAATGAATAAATTAGAAGTTTATTTGAATAAACCTATATATGTTGGTTTTAGTATTTTGGATATTTCAAAAATCTTTATATCATTTTCATTATAACTATATTATTAAAACCTTTCAAACCTCTGCAAAATTACTTTACACCGATACTGACAGTTTAATTTATGAATTTAAAGTTGATGACGTATATCAATATATCAAAAATGATTTTCACCTTTTTGATACCTCAGATTATGATGTTAACAATGTTTATAATATTATACAAAGAAACAAAAAAGTACCCGGTCTTATGAAAGATGAAAACAATGGTAAAATTATGCTAGAACTTGTTGGTTTAAGATCAAAAATGTATGCTTACACTGTTGATGATAATAAATCAAAAGAGCATTTAGTTAAAAAATCAAAAGGATCTACAAAATCCTCAATAAAAGCTATAACTTTTAATGATTATAAAAATTGTTTATTTGATCAAACAATTTTTAAAAAGTACAAAAATTAATAAGATCTAAAAATCACAAGGTCTCATCTGTAAAACAGAAAAAAATTGTTTTAAGTCCATTTGATGATAAACGTACTGTTAATTTTGATACAACTGACACTAAGCCTTGGCGCTACATGTACCAACGTAAGCAAATAATGGAAGGGATATTAACTACAAAATAAGGTGCGCTATACGAACTAACAACACAAACAATTTTATTTTATTGTTATTGCAGTGCTAACCAGTGTTTTCAAGATGGAGCTTTTGTTACAAATCAAAATCGAGGCCCAAGATGCTCTTCAGAAAATTTACGTAAAACATTTGTATAACCTGATCCTGTATGAAGACACTCACCAAACAAAACTTAATCTTTTTACTTTAATGAGCCGGGAAGACTTTATTGTTCCAAGTGAAATTTTTGTGAAGATGCCTGTTTACATCAAGAATATTGATGTTGATATATTTGTAAAACTATTACAGAAAAGAAAATTTTTGGATAAGTATGTACACACATTTATCGATGTCTGTAGAAATATTCCAAAATCTATTCTTTGTTAACTGCTTATGGTTTACAAAAGAATGTATCACATATTTATTATCTCTTAAATTTATTGTCTAACCACAATTTGCAAAATATTTGTTCAAAGGAATTTCCATTGTTAAATATTTTGCAATTCCATAAAACTGTTTTATCATGCTTTGATCAATTTGTATGTAATGTTGCATACTTAGCAACTTTAAGCCTGTTGACATTATTATCTATTCAATAAAACACTTTATTACTTTTAGTTTTGTTTTATTTATTACTTTCCCTACATACATTCTTAAGATACTACAAATACCTTGGTTAGTACTAATCATATAAATAATAAACTAAAATATAATACGAGTATATATTATATAATAATACAAGCAAATAAAAATGCTCATAACCTATCTAACTAAACTTATTATGTTTTTAATTGGTATATATTTAGCTATTCTATCATGCAAAATTAAACAATATACAGTTGTTCTATCAGGTGTATTTACACCTGTTTCAAATTCAATTCTAATATCTACTGCACTTCTTTTTAATTCTTCGTTTTGTTTAGAACAATCAACCACTACAATTGGTGTTAATTAAACTCCTTTGGAGTAAGAATAGGTTCACTTTCTTTAAAAAGAAATGAATTTTGAAAATTAGTAAACATTTCATATAAGAGAGCATACTGGTTGTTACTGAAATTTATATTTAAATTGTCATATGGATAATGAGTATCATTAAGGAAAACTTTTATATTTCTTAAATAACAATGATCAAAGCGACTACAATTTTTTGTTAATTGATTTTTTCTGTCTGTTTGAAATGCGAACATTATATATTGAGGTTTTTCTATAGCAGATTTTATAGCCCATGTATGTTTTTGTGTTTGGGGTAAAACTGGATATTCATGTAATTCTCGACTTAGGAAAGGAATGTACAATTCTTTTGCACTTTTTACAACATCTAATAATCTCAATTGTTCCTTTATTGCTGTTGTAATATGAGGAACCCGCCATGATAGTTTTTCTAAAGACAAATTTATTGTCTTGTCATGATCATTTTGAAAATAAAATGCATTATTATCAGTACTACTGCGACGTATTACTAACTCTTGCCGAGCGTTTACTAAAACTTTTTTAAAGTCTTCACACAAACCCAAAACCATATGAAGTGGAATTATAACATCAAAACTGCCAGTTGTATCATCAATAGTTGTAGATTTTTCTTTTGGAAACCAACCACTATTTTGAAGAGCCTTACTTTGTGATTCGTTGTATGTTGCATAGCCTTTTAAAACAGACACAATTCCTGGATTTCTAACAGTATCTATAGGATCTCCTGATATTTCATATGGTAGAGATGGTAGAGCAACATTGTCTTTACCATACATACACTTTTACTTTTCCTTGAACATGTAATGTACTGTACCATGGTAAAGTGTATATATCCTGTTGTTGTATTGGAATTCTAATTTCATCATTATTGTTGAAAGAACTGGATGCATAAGGTGGATGAGTACGTTTTTCAGCATAAGCAATTGCTGTATCAAATAATGTTGGCTCTTGAACATTAAGAATTTGAAAATTCATTCTGTTAAATTTATACTTTTACTCGAAATCTTAAAGATTTTAAAAACAAACGGTTTGCTGTAGTACGCAAATGCAACCTTACTTCTTACACTTCTTCTCTAAAACTGACAATATTTCCATCTTGATCAGTTATTTTCATTGTTATCTCATCTATTTGTTTAGTGTTAATTGGAAAATAAATAACACTAGAACGTGTTTCTGTTATTTTGTAGCCAGGTGGTACACAAGGAAAAAATTCATGAATAAGATGTACTTCTTTACCATTACGAAACGCACCACATACAATATTACATTCAACACATAATGCATTTACTTTGAATATTATACAAGTATTATCCGATATATGTTTTTTGTTTGCTTTTAGTCTATTACTGTTAAAACCTAGTAAACCACCAATAGAGTCCCTTTTTGAAAAGTCAATATCAAGACTACATTTAATTTCACATTTTAAAGTATTGTTATTACCTTATTAAATAGGTTTTTGCATATAGTGATTGGTTTTTAATGATTCTTGTTTAACATATGTTACAAGTTCTTTATTTAAAAAAGCATTGAGCTCATCAATTTCATAAGAGCCTTCAGGAATTGTAATAAAACCTTTTGTTTGATTTTGTAAAGTAAAATAAAATTTGTTATTTGAATTGGTAACGTTTTCTAACACATATAAAGAACTATGATAAACTGAAAACGATTCACATATGTCACTAATTATTATAGTTGTACAAAAATTTTAAACATAAGTGTCCACAAATTACTGTATTAAACTGTTGTAATCTTTCATGATTGTATACTTTTCACACTTATTTTTTTTGTTTAAATATTTAACTAATTCTATCGGTGGTGGTAAGTTACCAAAACTATCAAAATAAAGGGCTTTATTATTAGTTTTTTTATAAGCAGTCCAATGAGTTCCTTCACCTGTCTCATCATCTAAATTTATGATAGCCGTCTCGTTGACATTTGGACCTGACTTAGGCAATGAATCTTTCATAAATACTCCTCTAAAATTTTTAATTTTTATTAGTTGTGTAAATTTTTTCAAATCAACGTTAGTTAGAGCGCGTTTTGGAAGCTCTATAGGAATGTTTTCGGTGATTTTCATGGTCCTAAAAAAAGACCGTATCCTTTTTTATAGGGTTTCAGAAACAAACCTTTTCCCGATTCATTTAATGCAATTGCTTCCATACTTTGATTATGTCTTTGTGTTTCTTTAAGTCGTTCTTTAGCAGCATTTACTGCTTTCGCAATCGCAGCGGCACCACCACTTAATAATCCTAAAGCACCCAATGCCGCAAAAATTAGAATAAGTGGCAAAAATCCTCCAGTTTTGGGTATAGGAATTATGCGTGTATGTTTAATTGGAGTTTTATGTTTTACAGATTTTACGGCTTTTACTTTGGCTTTTATGACATCGATATTGTTTTTAAACTTTCTTCCTTTAATTGCAGTTTTTGCAATTTTTTTTAATTCATTGAAACCTAAACCTTTTCTACTTTTTTTAAATTTCGTTTTTGGGCGCTGATTTTTTTTATTGATAAACAACTCATTCCAAGTGTTAACTTAGCTTTCATTGCAGATGCAACACCCAAAGCTGCAGTTTTTTCTCCCAAAGAAGAATTGGAAGAATGTAATCTACGCTTCGCTTTCTCTAATAAAAGACGGTCTGCTTTATGTCGATTATGTAAATCTAAACTATTGTTGTAAGCGATGTCGTGCTCTTTGCAGGCTTCATCTAAAGCACTAACTCCTTTATCTCCTCTTGCAAGCCGTTTTGTTAATTTTGTTCCTGGACCACAATAATTATAACCAGGAATATGTAGTTCAATGGGTAGCTTGTTTATCATCGAATTTAGAACACCTCGGCCACTATGTCTCTTTTTAACTGTGATTACTTGACTACTAAGGTTTTGCATTTTTACTGCACTATATATAGACTCCTATATAACTTAGGTTTTAACAAACAAAACTCAACTAAAAAATAACTAGTTTTGATTAGAATATTTATAGTTCAAAGAAGTTTTCTGTATTAGTTTTATACAAAATGCGAATTTTTCAACAACCAACAACGCTACAAGTGCCAAACAATGATTTTAAAACTATTAACAAAAAAAGACATGGATAACTTTTTCCGTCAACTATACGTTGTCTTATTGTAGGACCATCAAACTGTGGTAAAACCAATACAATGATAAGTTTAATTGAGCATTCTAATGGGTTGCGATTTGAAAATGTATATATATTTTCAAAATCGTTATTTCAACCAAAATATCAGTATTTGGAAACGTTATTAAAACCCATACAAGGAATGAGCTATTTTGCATTTAATGATCTAGAAAATAATATTCCCTCTTCTTCAAAAGTTAAACCTAATTCTATAATAATATTTGATGATGTAGCTTGTGATAAACAAAATGTTATGAGAGAATATTTTAGTATGGGCAGACATAAAAATATTGACTGTTTCTATTTGTGTCAGACTTATATCAAAATTCCGAAACAACTAATTATAGACAATGCAAATTTCTTAATAGTGTTTAAACAAGATGACTTAAATTTACTTCATATTTATAAAGACAATGTTAGTTCGGATCTGACTTTTGAAGAATTAAAAAAAAATGTGTCACTTATGTTGGCAAGATAGATATAATTTTTTAGTAATTGATAAAGAAAAATTTTAATAATGGTGGTTATAGAAAAGGATTTGATTGCTTTATACAACCTTAATTTTAGTAAGAAAAACTATATAAACGTAACGAAGTATCAAATTGCACAGTTTCTGTAGCGGTTTATTAACGCTTTTAAGCTTAACGAGCGGTTTTCAGACGGTTTGCTTGCGCGTTCTGCAGTTGTATTACGGTTTATAAACGCTTTTTAGGTTTCTAGGTAGACGGTTTGCGAACGGTTGGCAGACGGTATTCAGAGTTTTTGTTTTCGTTAAATCAAAATAAAATTTTATTAATTATGAACTTAAAAAAAAGATTAGATGTCACAGAAACAAAAATCTAAAGAAATTAATTAAAAAAAGAGAAGAAGTAAAGCAAGAAATGACTTTGTTAAAACAAGATGAGTCTATTGACACATTCAGTCTATGAAAACACATTTTCTCCAATTACCAAAAGACTTGAAACAATATCCAATCAGTTACAAGAGAAGAATATTGTTCATGACTTTAAACCTAAACAAGAGAAACAAGAAATATTTGATCAAACGTTTCCTATAGAAAATAAGAATGATCTTTCAAGTAAATCTCTAATCTTAAAACAAGAATAGAGTTATTAAAAAAAGATAAAGTTGATTTTAATGAAATTGATAAGATAATCCAAAGTACACCACTTAACACTATAGAAAAAAAAAAGAAGATGAAGAAGTTTTTATAGCAGAACCTGAAGAACTAGAGGATATGGAACTAGATGATTTTATTGAAAATTCAGTTAAAGAAAGCAAAAAAAACATTTCAGGTTTGCTTGGAACAGATTTATATAATGAATATTTAGAAACTTTTGATGTACCACGACAATATATAAATGGATTGATCCATGATAAGAAACGAGAATTTGATCGAAGGACTGGCATAAGACACGACAGTATTGCAGAGAAATTTTGGATTGGTTCATCTCGTGTAGAGTTTATAGGCAAAGATATTACAGTAGATAATTTTTTTTTTTAAAACAAC